CTGAATCAAAGGATAAGCTCCTTTGATCATACATGGGATGTCCCCACTCATCAAAGCAAAATTCTTTTGCACACTGAATACAGGGAGTTTCATTCTTTTCCCTCCTCATGACTGTCCTGTAGATCTCAAAGAACCATTCATGCTTATCGCCAACACTCATTGTCGGAGGCAATAGTGGCTTCACGAATCTAGCAAGCTCTATTGCCTTTGCAAGATCTTTCTTCTTCAAGCATGTCTTCTTTAAACAGCCAGCACAGGTCTCATTCAGCTCTTTGTTGTATGGTGTTGGCTTCTGGTCCCATTCCCAATCCTCCACMCACTTCCAGTCTTGATTCAATACGAATTGGACGCGTGGTGAGGGATCACCGATTATCTCTGGTGGAGGGGGCTCCGGGGCTTTCGGAGGAGGCGCCAAGGGATCCATAACTATTTGAATCTTCCATCCAATCCCTGGGTCTATTTGTTGTTGCTTTATTAGCTCCATTGCTTCCCTTGCCTTTGATGCTGGGTGCCACTTCATCTCCATGTTACCCTTCACGATTGCAAGCTTCTGACGTGGCATCCAGTGTTTGTAAGCACAGGCCTTTGGTCCTTTGTAAACAAGCAACCTGGCTTGGTGTCGGGCCTTCTTTGTTCTTGCTCTCCTCCTGTTCAATTTAACTCTTTGCTTTGGATGGCAACCAAATAAGACTGCTCCCGTGCGTCGTGGAGGGACTGAGTCCCGGGAGCTTGTAGGGTAGCGTCGATATACATCCTTATGGAGGTCTTGTTCCACTAGGAAATCCGGCGTTTTGAGTTGCTCATCTTGCTTCTTTTGCTTGTTGTTATTTTGCTTACTATGCTGCTCCTTGCTTTTTCCAGCAGTATCCTCCATACTTAGCAGGGGTACCCTCCGTCACAGGGTGAATTGTTCTCGATCGATTTTAAGAGAAAGAAATGGGATTGATACACCGTGTTAAAAGCACGGGGAAATGGATCCGTCACAGTTCCTTCTGATAAACCGGAAACAGAACAAATGTATCAAGGAGTGGAATTGCMAAGATATGAGTTTACACGATTAGTGGCCAAATTTAGTGAGCAGGTCGTCCGTTGGGAGTTGAGTCAAAGTAGTCATTACACGGTGAAAAGATGGCAGAAAATCCCCGCACAGTACAAAATACACGTAGGGCAGTAAGTAGGGTACAACTCACTCTAACAGCTATAATTTGGTCCCCAACGGACGCTTAACAATGATAAGCACATGGTTGAAAAGAGAATTGAAAGAGCTTTCTAATGGCGTGAGGGAGAACGGCGTACGTTGAATATTGATCGATATTCATGTACGTATATCCGTATTCAAAAATGTACGAAAATTTCGGCCGGAAACGCGTGGCCCACGCTATACGATATTGGTAATCCAACGGCTACCAAAAAGCTACTTTACAGTAGCTTAAAAGTAGCTTAAAAGTAGCTTTTAAGCTACTTAAAAGTCGCTTTTAAGCTGCTTAAAAGTAGCTTTAAAGCTACTTAAAAGTCGCTTTTAAGCTGCTTAANAAGCTACTTAAAAGTCGCTTTTAAGCTGCTTAAAAGTAGCTTTAAAGCTACTTAAAAGTCGCTTTTAAGCTGCTTAACGCTACTTTATTCTTTGGATCTCAGGTCGGCTTATACATCAGTAGGAACGTGACTCAGTACTAGCTGAGACGTAGGTCCACTACCTTAAAGTACACAATTATGAGGAGGCACGTGCCTCAGTAGCTGGGCCGTAGGTCCAGTAGCTTTAAGTATCTGGTTATGAGTCGTTTCCCAACGTCCCTGGTGCTACTGTTGCTGCTCCTCATGCTGCTGCTACTAGTAGTAGTAGCAGTAGTACTAGTACTACAGCTACACCAGCTACTATTGCTACTACTGCTGCTGCTACAGCTACTATGGCTGGTGCTACTACTAGTAGTACTGCTATTGCTACTACCACTGCTACTACTGCTACTGCTCCTCCTCGTGCTGCTGCTGCTGCTGCTGCTGCTGCTGCTACTACTACTACTACTATGAGAGTACCAGGCCTCCTTCATCAGGTGTTGAGGTGACAAACTCCTGTTTGACACCATAAATGTCATTTCAAGGACCTCTACCGCCAGGCCATTTGCCGGCACCCACCACCAAAAAGTAGACACAGTCATTGTAGTTGATGCACAGTTTCCAGTTGAGGTACCTTATGTTGCATGATAGGTGGTGAGATTGTGTGCTCCAAGAATTCTTGGAGTCTGAAGCTATGCTCTACGAGTCAACGGCGGGAGCATGTGTCTTCCATCTGTGGAAATTATGATCGGATTAATCTTTCCATTAATTGGGATCACAGATGCCACTTGTCTTTTCTTTGATCCATTTGACCCTAAACAATAAAACTGATTGGATTGTGATCTGAGGAGTGTTGGGACGTAAAAAAATGTGGAAAAAGTTTTGTATTGCACATTCTGCTGCTGCACACCACATTTCCCATGTCATAGATACTAGTAGTACGAGTTTAATCAGAGTAAAATGCGTTAACCGTATGAACCCTACCAAGTTCTACAGGGCAGAAAGGTCATTGGGATGCATAAGGATTCTCTGGCGGCTTAGAACTAGTATGCAGAAGTTGCAGTAGTAGTGGGCCAAAATTCCTGCGTTAATTATAGTAGGTGTAATTTTACTCAAGTTAAACCACTCGTACTAACAAAAATTATTCTTACTAGCAAAGAAAGGTACTGTGTGTCAGAAATAGAGTACATGTTTGTCCATGGACCTCAATTTCTATTTACAAAATATTTTTATTTCATACTGGTAGTATTGGTACTATGTTTGAAAAACTAGTTAGTGTTCTCCAATCTTGGCTTGAAATGATGTCTGAGCATTTGAGATACATAAATCGAGCTGGCCGGTCAAAAAAAGACATATTTCAATGATATCGGGAATGACCCAATAAACCCCTGCATACTACTGTAATGCATTGTTGCTTTGTCAGCAGTAGGATTTCTACATAGGCCTCGTACTAGTGGGTATCTTTCCGAAATAAAAATTAAAGTCTGTGAGTCGTAGTACTCGTTTCGTTATTTTCCCGTGGGCGAAGTGCCTTGGGCCCACTACTGTCAACATTATGTAATTGACATATTTTTTTATTGGAATCCTTGGCTAAAAATCCCAAATTGTTCCCGCCACTGGAATCTTGTCAAATTAGCATGCAATTTATACAGGATTATGTAAGTTGAGCTGGCCGACTGTGCCATCTGTACCACTGAAAGTGATTCCCAAAAACATATCATGAAATATTTTTTCGGGAGTGAACCAATGATGTCTGAGCATTTGAGATACATAAATTGAGCTGGCCAGGAACCATGATCATTTCTGATCACATTTTTTTGTGATCAAAACCGATCACATAATGGAAAAAAGGGGACCGGAGAATTTAATTTTTTCGAAAAACATCGAAATCGACATGGTTCCAGTCAAAAAAGACATATTTCAATGATATCGGGAATGACCCAATCATAAACCCCTGCATGCTAATGCATTGTTGCTTTGTCAGCAGTAGGATTTCTACATAGGCCTCGTATTGGGTATCTTTCCGAAATAAAAATGAAAGTCTCTGCGTACGGTACGTACGAAACGTACTCGTTTCGTTAAGTAATAATTTCAAGTTCTAAACTTCGAAGTTATGAACTTCAAAATGTCCCAGTAGAAAGTCTATCAGGTTTCATGATTGAAAGGCCAGGATTCATAATTGAATCACCTGGAGAATCGGTTCGGTCATTCAGTCATTTTAAAAACAAGCTCAGTAGAACCTGGTACTTCAAATCGAAGTTTAGAACTTCAAATTATTACGTACTTTTTGCTCTCTGGGCAAGACCGTGTGCAATTGTTATGAAACTCGTAGTATTTTCCTTTGCGCGAAGTGCCTTTCAATTGCGATTACCGTGCTACCTTGCTACCCGTATCGTTTTTCGTATCATCTGTTTTTGTTCACAAAAATCAAGTCTCTGATTTTGCATCAATAAAGTGTGATAAGGTAAGAGCGTATTGGTCTTGATCTTTGCAATCTTTTTTTGGTGCTTTCTATGGAATTGTTACTATCATTAGTCGTGGGACATCACTTCCAAAGATCGCTGAAGTCGATTCTTCAACGATGCTGCCTGTGCCTATCGAGTGGAGGGTAATGTGTAACTCCGATACACATTGCTTTCCCGAACTTCTCTGTGTCTACGTTGTCCAGGAATCATTCGGCCCGAGTTTCGTCATTGGCATGTCTTTTGATAGCTACGTTTCGACTCGTCATGCTGGTGAAATGCTGGGAGATAATAGCTTCAGATTGCTGTTTGTGTCTGGTTCAGCATATGATGGGCTGCAGGAAAAGTCGCCACTATATTTTCTCACACTTGACAATTCATTTCGTATTCTTATTAAGGACACCGGGATTGCCACTGCGAGTATTGTCATACTCGTCTTTGAAGTCAGTATATCAGAAAGAAAACATCAGCAAGAAAAAGAAGTTGCAAACATGGAGAGACAAGTTATACTTTCGGTCATTGTCCTAGTGTGTATCAATGTGATGGACTCGATTATGGGTGCCGTTGTTGGACCAACCCTCATTTTCTATGTTTTCGAACTTGGAGGAAACAAGGATGATTACGGAATGATGAAAAGTGTCGTTTCATTGTCTGCAATGATTGCAATTCCCCTTTTTGGAAACTGGGTCGATTCCAACGGAAACAAATACTTGGTGCCTTATTTGACATCATTTTTTCTAGGAATCATTTCCTTTGTGATGTACTTTCTTGTGATTCTATTGCCTAAGGGGCCTATTGCAATATATTCATTGATGTTCTCTCGATTTCTTGATGGAGCGGCGATAGCTGGAAGGACTTTGTCATACAGTTGGGTCGCAAGCTCGATACCTCCAAACAAGCAAAGAACCATATTTACTCTTCTTTCGTCATCGCGTACTCTTGGTATGGTCTTGGGGCCCTTGACAAATTATCTTGTGAGCGAAATCAACACAGAAATAACGATTTTTGGCACAACAATTAAGATCGATCCCAACAACTCGATCGGTCTCTTGATGGTTGGTGGAGAAATTATTCTTATCGTTATTACGTTGCTCTTCTTCCAGGAACCTCCGGTGAAGGATGACAAGTTGAAAAAGTCCACAACCGAAACTTCAGTAACTGAATCGAAAGGGGTATTTTACGCCCTCACCCACTTTGATATCTTTTTCCCTGTCTTTACCATGTTCGTCGTGGGATGCAATTTTAGTCTGTAAGTTGTTCCTCTGTTTTTGTTGCCTGTTCCAAGATTTTGAAGCACCTGATAAGTTAGTCTTCGAGACTTTTCTCAAGGAGCTTTTATTTTTGTTCATTTATTTTCACATTTTACAATGGACTTGCAGACTTGGTACGGCCTTCTCCCCAGTTGCACGCAACATGGGTTGGACTCCGGTGAATATTTCAGAAGTGACCGCTTACGGGTCGATAATTATGGCTTTTGGTATGGTAGCATCAATGGTTGTAACTACGAGAGACGTGTCTGATGCGCAGATGCTTTTGTTCGGTTTCGGGACCATGTTCTTCAGTGGGTTCTTCATGTACGAATGGTGGATTGATGGAGTTGGCTACTGGAGGTTTACTTTGCCAATGTACTTGGTTTACTTTTCTTATCCCTTCATTGGACCCGCAAACCGTAGCAGATACACTCAAGCTGTACATTCAAACAAGGAATTAGAAGGATCCCACGGAATCATGATGTCTTTGATCAACCAGGCGGGTGCGGCGGCAGGTTTAGTAGCTCCTACCCTGGTTGCCTCGTTCGTTCTAAGAACTCAAGAGGATATCGACGCAAGCCCTGACAAACACCAATTGACTCCAGGAGGTCTTTATGTTCCCATTTTTTGTGCCGTCATCATTACAGGGGTGATATACCAACACTTTACCGAGATCCGCACAAAAAATGAACCAGTTGGCGACACCGGTGCTGATTCCGAAAGTACCAAGTTGCTGTCGCCTAGAGAGAATAGAACTCCTCGAGCAAGTGTAGTTGAGATTAGTGAGACCTTTTCGCGAGCGTCAGAGGTCAATCGTCGCATGTCCGTAGATTGCATGGGAATAAGTAATCCTGTGGAAACAAAGTACGAACAGGAATTGGCAACGAAGCTTTTGGAAGACAAAAAAATATGGGAAGAACTTCAAGAGTTGGACGAAATTGAAGATTGAAAGCTGTTTGAATTCTCGATTCGTCTCTGTCATGGCATTACAAACACAAACAATACACTTAGCGTGCTTGTACAGCACAAATATTATAGGTCATCAAAAATAGTTGTGAGAATTATAATCTATTCAAAATCTATTAATCAACTTTACTCTATCTGAATACTAGAGCTTCTTTGAATTGTCTCAATTCAATTTTTAGAGTCAACTTTTATTGAGGTTCTTTTTCAAATTCTTTCTTGAATTGTCTCCATTGATTTAAAAATTCAATGGTTCTTTTTCACGGTCTTCCTCTTCCTTGACATTGCTCGCTGCCGACTCAATAGGCGTAAATGCATCTGTTCATGTTTGCGCTCTTGATTTGCAGTTTTCAATATTTGAAGACATCCCAAATAATTGCACGTTCGATGTTTAAAACCACTCCGGGGATTTCGTTGGAATCTGACGAATTTTTCAGCGATATGCTTCTGGATGAATACATCTCTCCAAGAGATTTTGCTTATATTATGCTTTCCGTTGCTACCCTTATGTTTAGAGTCAAGACTAGTAGCGGTAACGGTTGCATCTTCAGGCGATAGAAACGGCCGCCGATACTTCCCGAACTGCGCTACGTACGCCTTTTCCCAAAAGTAATCCGAAAACCTGTCGACTATTCCTTTCCATGCCTTGCAAACAAGTGGAACTCTAGCCAATTCTTTTGAGCCACAAAAAGAAAAAATTGTGCATAGTATCCCACTGTCATGAAGGTATTCAATCAAGGGAATGCCAGATTTTCGTGGGACCAATTTCTTCGATTTCTTAGACTTCTGATTCGGAGATTTACGATCTGATGGAGGGCAACTGAGCAAAGTTGTCACGGCATCACTTCCATTTTCAAGAGGTAATACGGATTGTTCTATTCTTCCCATTGCTTTTCTCATGGTAAATTCTTTGGAAAATGGCCAATTTCTGGTAGCTCGAAAAAATGGTGGTATTGTACTCTCTGAATTCCGAGAGGTAAAACAATTATCCTGCGCTGATTCTTTTCTTGCATCGGATAACGAAAAGCTTAAAATACCGAGACGTTGCAGGGAAATCTCCACGAGATACCCAGTCGGCTCCAAAAATTGGCTGAGCCACGGTTTGGAGGATCCACCAAAGTGTATTGATAAGAGATCTACGAAAGATTGAAATTCTTTTCCGATGCTGACACTTTCATCAGAATCTTTGTGCTCATTACGATTGACTTGATGATTTTCTGGACCAATTTGAAACAAATTAAACCTTTCATGCAGTATGTAACCAAGGCAAGGCAATACAAAGTGATCAATTTCATCGTTATCCACACAATGCCGCTTATGCTGTGATTTACTAGAGCGACAAGCAGCATGTTCAGCAAATTTTTCGTGTCTATCCTTTTCAGCCTCATCTTTTTGTCGAACACTTTTCATTACGAATCGAACAATTGGTTGGATTGCCTCCCACAGTACTTCTTGCTGGTCAAAAACAGCGCACTCACTTAACCACTCTGAGTAAAGACGGAGCCAGGTTGAAGCCGATACCATGAGCTCTTTTCCTTGCCAACTAGAGTAATAGCCAAACCAGAATAATCGTGCAATTTCTTGGAAGTAAGAAGGGTTCTTTGGACCTCCCAACGAATGAGCCAATAGGGCAAGGCACACTCGACGCGAAGGGCAATCTATGTGCAACGCAGCGTCTTTTGTAAGCAACCATAGGAATGATGTCTCCGATGTTGTTATCATTGTCTTTCTTTCGACCGACTCAATTGGTTTAGTTGAGCATGCTACCCATAGTTGTCGCTCCCGCTGTCGCTCAACACCAAACGTAATAAACTTCTTGTAGGCTCTCGAGCGGACCGTTGACCAGTCGGGAGAAATCGAGGTTGTCGCGGTAAACTCTGATCGTTTCCGCTTTAAATGTGTACTGCTACTACTGCTGATACAACGACATCTTAATTCCCTTCCTGTTTTGTTGTAAGTTTCTTGCTTCTGTTTCATTCCCAAAATATCTGAAAGTGACACGTTTTGGGATTTACTTCTGTAGTCTCGACGCCAGAGCACGTTGCTGCTGTACATTTGTTGCGTTGTATTCTTTTCATATTGTAGTTCCTCGTCGTGAAGATCGGAAAGGTTTACCAGGGTCATTTTGTTTTTACGACTCCTGATGACTCTCTCACTACCAGTGTCCTCAGAGTCACAAATAATTCCTTTACAAACCGGACAACATCCAAGTTCAGAACGGCTCTCCATAGCGCTACCAGATTGCTGCTGTGATTCTATGTCCATTTGAATATCCCACTCATCGATCCGCTGCAAAAGGAGCAATCCAGAAGAAATCAAGTCAATCTCTAAAAGGGGTGACGATAACGACGACGCTGAACTCAGCAACCAATAAATTGCCGATAACAATCGGTTGCCTTTGTTCGGAGTCATTCCGGTCGTGTTCGTCATTGTTGTTGCTATAGATGCTGCTTCTTTTGAAATTGATGTTGTACCTCCCATCGTAGAGGACGATGGCGGAGCTGCAATGAAGCTGCGAACATAGTTTGTCATGAATGAATCGGAAAAGAACACTTTATCTGTTGACAATCTTCGGATGGTTTCCAACAAAAATAGCTGGGATGGTGTCCATCGCGAAATCGCAGTGGGAATAGAAACTCCCTTTTGCGAATCATTCGCATTTCGTTCCCGTCGTAATGATATAGATAACGACGGTGATACCAGCAGAGCGTTCAACAAGACATCAAGAAGGCACCTGCCGTGACAACATCGTGGAACAAGCAAAGGATTTGTCAAGGCAGCAACAACTTCTGCCAATACCGTCGTTCTTGTATTGTTATCTGTACTTGACTTTTGATTCTTGAATTTCTGTTTGTCGTGATGTTTGCACAAGGTTTTCCAATCAACGTCGTTAGTCAAAATTTTTGTTATTTTCGGACGATCGTATCGAACCACTTCGTTAATTCTTTCATCCTCGTTCCAAGAACTAGCTATTGTTTGGGATGCTGGTGTTGTTTTGGTCGATAGTAGACTTAGGTTGGATTTGACACACTCCTTCAACTTGTGGCGAAATTCGTCAAGAGGAGTTGCCCTGAAAAAACTAATTGAGCAGATTTCATCTATTTCGATCATGCGCACGTTCACTTCGCTGTTCTCAAAAGCATGGCCGTTGTCATCATTCGTAGCAACTGTTCTGGAAGCAACACCAGAAGCAACATCCGTTTGGTATCTTTTAGTCTCCATCGTTTGCATTTGCATTCTTACTTTCGAATCATCTCCAATTACCCGCGACTCATATTGCGGGGCCAAAATGAGGGGTGACAAAGGCGAATTGATTGCATTGGGACTACTGTTTTTCTTGACGGCATGAGAAAAGTGCTGCTTCATTCTTCTACATCGACGGCGCCGATTCAGAGTGCTACATGCCGTTGACAATCATGGTAAGATGTACAAGGATTGAATTGTTATTCTCAAGGTGACGGTGCGTGCAAGGTTTTGCGTAACTAAAATACGGCCCAAATTAGAGTAAAAAGTAAAAATGAAATTTGATGCAGTAAAAATAAATTAAATAGGATTCCATGGTCGTGGAGCATCGTTGGGTTTAAGACTTGTTAGGTGTTGGTACGACTTAATGATGCCATTACAAGCTCAGTACTAGAACACAGAACAGAATCTACGGAGGTAGTTTTCAAATATTCTGGAGGCCCAGAACCAATTCTGCTTCTTCTTTCTCAGAAGACAAATCATTTCTACAAGTAAACCACCTCCATGCTAAAAATGTTGGAGAGGAGCGACACTCAGTAGCAGAGCTCTGTAGAATTTGGTGCTGGACTGAAAAAAATAGTGATGGCAGGATCAGCATTAAATTAACAATGGGAACCACAGCACCATTAGTGGACCAATCACTTGTTATTATTCCTTCTAATGACCTGTTATTTGATACAGTCATTTGATTCCAAAATAAAGTTTTCATCTTGTTGTTGAGTACTAGATATGCTTCCTTGTGAATCCCTTGTTATTTCAGCCAAGATTACTAACAGCTTCATCCTCCTAGCCATGATTACAAAATTCCCATCCTTGCTTGTGCTCCCAGACGTGCATCTTGACATGTCCTCCCTCTGGTGAACTTTCAAGAGCAACAGGTTTGCTGTGATATCCTCAGCTTGAAGAACTTTGGCCTGCTTTAACAGTATGGTGGATACCAACCACCATAAACATCATTCAATACCTACGCCCCCCCCCCCCTTTTAACCAGGGTTCTTTCTTCTGATATGCAACTGGGGGCTTTGGATACTCCACCAAGATTAGTTCCAAAATCCCTGTAACAATGAAAGAAGAACTTGGCAGTATGTTGGGGGGCCACAACTTTGTCAGCCCAGCAGTTCCAAGTCTCACAATCCTATCTTATAACATGGAATAGCTCTGCTTGTTCTTCTCCCTCATTTCTCATTCTGAATTTATTTGAGTCATAGTAATCAGGATTCATCTTGTCCTTGGATGCAGGTCTTCCACATAACCAGATGAGCAGCTATTTTTGTTAAAATCTACTGCTAGTATTTCCAACAAGTCTGATTTCAATTTTTCTGCTTCTGCTGATTCACCCCCACAACAGCCCTCATGTTCTGATGGGACCATGCAAAGTGCTGTTGCTGGAGATGTTTTGGAGAAGTATCAACATCATTTGTATCTGCTGATTGTTGCTTGCTTATTCTTCGTTTCTAGTCATCCAATCAATCCAAATAGCACTTATGAATAAATGACAATGTAGATTCATAGAATTTGTACAATAAAATACACTTGCAATGAAAGCTGAAAATTTTCAATTGAAGTCTATGACGTCGAATTGAAGTTAACACACACTCGTTACTGTACCCATTTGTTACAAAGCTTGCGGTAAAAGAAGATGGTTGTTGTCTTTTCAACTAACAGTTACATTTTTTACACTTCCTGAATTAGAGCATGTTGAACAAAGAACAAATAGCTTTTACTTTATGTTAAATCGAGCGAGACAATTTCATCGCTCAAACTTTCATGAAAAATGACAAATACATAAGAAGTGCAATTACTGGTTGGGCGTACGTCCGCTCTTGCTTCGTGATGGAGAGTTCTCGGTCGTCGTCGTTTTTGAGTATATTATCGCTTTCTTTGTTCTTTTTTGATGTCGTTTTCGTACTTTGACAAGGCTGCACGGAAATCTCCTGCTTCTGAACGATCGCGGAATCCAAGTCCTATCAAGGCCTCTCTATCAGCTTTTTCGTCTTTCACCCTCACCACAAAATAGCGAGTCGAATCCAGAACGGCTTCCACGAAATGTTCGATCTTCTGCTTTGCGACGTCGGTTTGATTGACAATATCGATCGGACACAGGGCAAACAGTTTCTGTTGGCCTATAGCACCTTCGTCACCGTGCGTGTAGGTGAAAATCAACAGCAAAACATCTCCCCGACGTTCCACCCGAAGTGATACACACTGCAATGGCTTTGTTAGCGGCCATCCATCGGCACTAATATTTTGAATTGGAAGGTCACACGTTCAGCATTTTTTTCAAGATTGTCGGCAGTGAAGTAAACGTGCAGCGAAAGCCAAATTGAACCGGGTGATAAACATTTGGATTAGAGAAAATGACAAAAAACATAATGGCCTTTGCTAACTTTAGTGCTATCGAAGAAAGCGAGGTGATAGTATAAATATTAGTACTGCACTCACCGAAAAGGAGAAGTCGATCCCGGGGGCAACCGGTACATGAAACATTCGGCAATACCCAACAATTTCGTTCTCAAGACAGAGACTTTGTAGTCATCGTCGTCAAGAAGTCCTAGATTGTACTGATCTCCCGCCATAATGAAAATTGCCTTCTCGAATGGTTGCAATACGGTGTGCGAACAGGCGTATTGATGGTGACTGATCAATTCTTTTCAAATTGGTCAGAGTACGTTGTCAAACTGTATCAGGCCTAAGCAATGGAGAGAATAGTTTCTCGTCTCAGAGCTAGAGTTACTTGTTGACGATGGCTCGCATCGAATTGAGATGTTGAGAAGATAATTCGTAAGACGAGAAGGTTCGTTGTTCGTACGGTACGTACTCGTACGTATCGTACTCGTCGACACATACGTTCAGCTGATTGAGGTGAAAACAAAAATAATATAATATTGGATGATACGAGTATCGTACGTACAGATGGACTCGTACTGTGGTGTTTTATTCCTGCTATGATTCGCAGCCTTACCGTATCGTACAGGAAGGCACTTGTACTAAAGGGAAGAACCACCGTATCTGTAGTTGCGAAAGTCATCTTGAGAATAAATACGGGTATAGAAAGGTTGATACAAGAATACCTTTCTCGAGGGTCATTAGTGACATCGTTTTGGGTACTGTAAGGCCCCAAAAATATGATTAATGCAGGAATAGTTTTTAGCGAGATCATACCGGCCGGTATAAATATTCATAAATGAAGATAAAATATTGTTGATGCCTTCGGCGAGTTTGGCGGACACAAATTCTATTTCTCTAGCTAGATTCGTTTTCACAACAAAACCCAGAAGTTTGTTTGAACGTGCTCTTGCACGTCAAGTGGCGTCTTACTACTAGATACTACGCTGAAAAAATAGTAATTCACGACATAGTTCTCGTAGACGAGTGGTTCACCGTTTGACTTCTTCTGAATTTCTTCAAACTTGGATCGAGGAGTAGATAGCGGAGAAAAGAATTTATGGGTTGGAGAAGGAGATGATGAACCATCAGTCGAAAACAAGCAATTTCCATAGGGAAGATGAGCAACCTGCTACAGAAGAATTGGGATCTCTTTTCAGCCGTTTGAAGTGCAAAAACACGGGTGAGGAGATTATTAGCTCTAGAAAGTCTTTGAAGTCCAAAACCAGCTCAAAAAAGGTTCATAAAATACTTACTCCATGGCTGGTCAACGACAGGGCAGCGAAAATTTCTGGAGAGAGCATTAGCAAAGGGATTCAAGTTGACGATCGTGATATCAATCTACCGATGCGAACAGAGCACGTGATCTACCCATCAGTAGAGGGTAATTCTGTTGAAATTCAATCAACTTTGGCACCTGCATCAAATTCAAAAACACAGGTGCAAAACAAAAACTCTATTGGATCAGTATTGTTTGGAAGACGCCGTCGTTCTTCTAGTAAATCCAATGCAATTAAGTCGTCTGAATACAACGAATCGAAGTCTTATCCCCAATTTGGCAGTTTTCCTGAAAATGAGTCGGATGAAGACAAAACCAGAAATAACAAGTTACGGGGAAGCGAGGAAAAGATTGTATCGACTAACCCTGTTAATGGCAGTGACAACTTGTCCACTTCTGTTGCAGAGAAAGCAGGAATCAAACCAACCAGAACCAATAGTTATGATCAGCGATTCTCATATAGCAATGGCACAAACTCTATTTTAGACAATGATGATGATTGTGGATTGCCATCTATGATGACATCCTCGACAATTTCCACTAAGTATGATGTGGGCGACACGAGCGAGAACAAGACGGGTGTGAGATGCTCCCAGAGAGATATTGTAACTCCAAGACGACGAAATAGTCGATCGCCTTCCCCGTCACGAATGCGGAGAGAGCCAAACCCAATGAACCCATCGGATTCGCCCAAAAATGGGAAGGTGCAACATCATCAAAAGGTGAAGTTTAAAAACGATTGGAATCATGAGATGCTCATGGCGCATGAAATGAATAAACAACTGAGCCAGTTATCGTCATCTTTTGATTGCGGAACAATGAATAGTAATAGTCATGAGGCTGGAAAGGCGCACAGTAAAAAAAAAGCAACTATTCAAAATGATTGGGATCACGAGATGCTCATGGCTGTTGAAATGAAGAAACAACTTAGTCAGATGTCTTCATCTTTCGATTGTGGAACAATGAATGGTAAAAATCGCGAGACTTCGTTTTCTGGAAGCACGAGGGAGTCTCTTCGACAGGAGAATGAGAAAATTTCGGTTTTGTCGTCCTCCGCAATGTCTTGCCTGAACCCGACTTCTCAACTCAGTTCATTGGGTAAACCCAACTCTACTATGCATGGTACAGATTCTGGCAATGAAAACAACCAGAACCTGATCAATATTAGTGGAACGCGTCAAATGTCAACGAAGCCAGCTACAAACACTCTTTGCGGTGCAGTTTCTTCGGCCTTATTACTTGATGTGAAGGACGATGATGCTCTTTGGAAATACTATGAAAGAAATAAAATGCCGCAGCTGCCATTATATCAGGATCAAATAAGCAAATACCGTGAACACATTACGAAGCAAGATCCGCCACCTGGTTCAACGGCTAAGGCTCCGGTTTCAAATGGAGAAGGAAGAATAATACAGGATGCTCCAAGATTTGCAGGAATTTCTAATTCCAATAGAATTAGACCTGATAAAGTGGATTTGCAAGAGACATCGACGCGGCATGCTGTAATAAATTACTCACAAAATCCACCCAGGCATGCCCCTCTAACTAAAGCTGATGGATACGATCATCGCCGTCCCTATGATAATGAAACAACTGGTTTCCAAATAAACCAAGGAACGAATAATAACGTATCCGACCGCGAACTTCAATTGAGACTTCAGTATGAATCTTTGATGGGGTATCAAAATCAGGCAAGCTACAGCCATGAACCCGTGAAGCCGAGCAAAGAGCAACTGCTTGATCAACTGCGACTTGCAGTAAGAAAGGCTAGCGCTGAACTAGATTCGCTTTATCTTCAAAAAGGTATCCGATCTGATTTTCGTGAGCGCTATAATATGAGAACAATGGAAACCGAAGACTGTAGTGAAGAGAGTAGTTTCATGCCTGAATACTACGGAAGGAATACCCAACAGCGTCATCTGGATCACGAAGAAGAAGCTCTTGATTACATCATATCGACTGGTTCAATACATTCACCTACGAACAGAAAGGATAAGTATGATTTTAGCTATTAAAAGTTTGAATTCATCCAGTAATAGTTCAAATAAAATAAAATGAAGGCCAGCATTCAATATTTGCACCGAGGACTCGGCATTCAGCTCTCAGCTGTATCAGATGTTAGATCCTGACCTTCCTTAGTAGTTGTTTACAGGAAAACTGATTGTCTTCACTTCCATATAATTCTCGAGAGCGTACTCTCCCTTGTCTCTCCCCCAACCAGATTCTTTGTAGCCGCCGAAGGGGACCGCCGCATCAAAATCATCGTACTGATTGATCCACACTGTACCAGCCTTGAGACGTTTAGCGATTCCCATTGCCTTAGACATGTTGACAGAGCACACTCCTGCTGCCAAGCCGTAACTGGTGTTATTGGCCCTCTCAATTGCTTCTTCAATAGTATTGAACTTTGCGAATAAAACCAAAAGGTGGTCAGAACATTTCACGGAAAATTATTCACTTGGGATTTTATTTGGGATGACGATTGATAAAACTTACCTTCATGAGTTGCATAACTGGGCCGAAAATCTCTTCTTTGGCAATCTTCATTTCATCCTCGACTTCCGTGAAGATGGTAGGCTCAAGATAATACCCTTTGGTACCAATTCGTTTTCCACCCAGAACACATTTTGCACCTTCTTGTTTTCCAGACTCGATATATCCCAAGATTTTCTCAAATTGAATCTTATCTACCTGAGGTCCTTGGAACTTGCCCTCATCCGTCCCGATTGCAATCTTTTTCGCTCGTTCGACACACAACTCTACAAATTTATCATGAATCTTTGCATCGATAAAAATACGGGACGAAGCACAGCAACATTGACCGTGATTCAAGAAGAGGCCGATGTGTGCTGCATCAGCAGCTTGTTCGAGGTCAGCATCGTCGCAGATGATTAAAGGACTTTTGCCACCAAGTTCCAGTGAAACTTTTTTAAGGTTCGAACTTCCGCTGTATTTCACGATTTCGTGTCCAACTTTTGAAGATCCTGTAAATGCAACCTTATCTACGTCAGGATGCGAAGCTAATGCTGCACCACAATCAGGACCGTAACCTGAAAGGACATTTAATACGCCTGGTGGAAATCCTGCATCTTTAGCCAACTTTCCCATCAGTAAGGCGGTGAGTGGTGTCTTTTCGGACGATTTGATGATGCATGTATTTCCGCATGCGAGGATTGGTGCTGTAAAACGGAGATGAATTCAGTGATTATTTATGAGACACAGTTTCAGATGTGGCGTGGCATTCATTTAAACGAGTACTTTAGAACTGAAGCAGACTTACCAACCTTCCAAACAAACATAAGGAGTGGGAAATTCCAAGGAATGATGCCAGCCACAACACCAATCGGTTCGTGGATCGTGAACGCCATGCTATCCGTATTCTCCACTGGAATAGTCTTTCCTTGGATTTTATCGGCCCATCCAGCGAAATATCTGAGGCACTTGACTGCCATGGCAATATCAACATCTCTCGCGATTGAGACGGGCTTGCCGTTATCCTTACATTCGACTTCTGCGAGGAACTGCTGGTTCTCTTCGATTAGATTTGCATACTTCAAAATCAAATCACGTCGGGCGGGACCACTCACATCCCTCCATTTGGTGAATGCAGCTTTGGCGCACTTGACGGCATTGTCAACGTCGGTTTTATCGCCGCGCTGGACTTGGGTAATGACTTCTTCAGTTGCCGGATTAACGACATCGAAAGTTTTTCCCGAGTCTGAGTCAACGAACTCGTTATTAATGAAAAGTTTGGTGAAGATGGTGGGTTCGATAGTCATGGTAAACAGTGGGGGAAATGGTCTACAACTATGTTATTCAAAAATTCAAGATGAAGGAATGAAGCCATTCGATAATGTGAATGGGAAAAGGATTACCAGTGAATTGTTCCAGCTAGAATTTACCTTGCTGCTAAACGTACGCGGTGAAAGCAACACTTTTACAAATAATGCATTCCGCATGCAATCTTTGGTTCTCGCACAGTATGCCGCATAGTTCCGTACGATACGGTTCGGGTTCCTTCAAAAAGATCCAAAACATTGGTTGTTGATTGAGAAACTAGTACGTACCGTTTGTATCTGAAAAGATTCCTTTGAATGTCATCTCGCAGTATGAATTACGTACTCATTACGTACTTATTCCACTTCGTACTTACAGAGTACGTTCAAAACAAGAATCATTTCTAGACTTCGTTTCGGAAAACAGATTTTTGGTGTCAGATATGGGACGAAGTTTTTGGGAGAACTGTACTAGAGCTATTAAAGGCAAGCCCCGTAGTGGCAAGTTATTGGCAATTCCCCGGGTGTCAATTTTTTCTCATTTTCCCGTCTTTATTTCCCCTCTCCCCCCCCCTCCACATAAAAAACTGTGGTCCCAAAAGATTTCTATTAGTGGTCCTTACTACTGGGGATATAAAATCAGTGGTTACTACTTGAGAATTAATATTAGCGCTTACTACTGGATCACCTCCATTACTACTTACTAGTTGGGATGCCATAGTAGTGAAAACTGCAAACTGCTGGGAAAGGGGGTTCTGTTGGTGCTGCTCTCCTCTCGCTCTCCTCTCACTGATGAGGAGGATGATGCTGATACGAGTCGCTGATACAAATGCTGATACGGATTCTGATAAGGATGCTGATACGAGTTGCTGGATGGGAGTCACTGATACATATGCTTGCTGATACGGAGGATGCTGATACAGAGGATGCTGATATGGAGGATGCTGATATGGAGGCTTGCTGATACGGATGCTTGCTGATACGGTGTCTGCTGATGTGGAGGACGCTCATCACTGATAGTACGAGTTGCTGATATGGAGGTTCGGTGATATGGAGGATGCTGATACAGAGGCTCACTGATAGAATGGAGGATTCTGATAATTGCAAGTTGTCGTAAAAAAAAGCCACACTAATCATACCAAAACAATACTTCTACTGGGTCCTTTACTACAGTTAAAAGCTTGATCAATTGAAAATCAAAGAGAGCTATCGATTGATACCAAGTAAAGTGTCTGAGGTTGAGTGAAAGTGCTGCAAATAGAGCAATTCTCATGGTCGGTTGCTTTGTACTGAGTTTTTTGATTAAATGAAAAGAACAGTTCTAAAGCGTGCTGGAGGAGACAAGTTTTTAGGCAGGCCACAGCCAGTACTACTAGTAGTGTGGGAGAGACTGTCCTAATAGTGATGTAAAGTGTGTGCTAGTAGAAAAGTGAGTCGATGCTCTTATYGAGRATCGACGAACTATGAAATCTAGAATGGATCGCTGTGGGGATCGAGTGAGGTGTGAATCAAATGAGTCAAGTCACTCACGCAAGTGAATGAGATGAGTCACGTCAATCATATGAATCCTAGGGGATCGCGTGAGTCATATATGTATGGTGTGTATGAATCGTAGATACGTATCGTATGTAYGTGTCGTATGTATGAATCATACCCACGGTCTGATATCCTACGGACAACACCMTMCCGTRATCTGTGATGTGTAAAGTGAGCAGATCAAAGCAAAAAATGACAAGGGAGGAGGATATCATTGTGAATGTGGAATTGTAAAGTGGCCAAAGAGTCGGCGTACATGTCGATTGTGGAGGACCCATCCAAGAGGCTTTATGAGCGCGTCAGCGGGATTGATTTCTTTGTGATATCTTTGAGAAAGACTCGGCCGTTAGTACAATTTTGAACACGCAATAAAAACACAGCAAGATGCTGAACAGCTGCTGGGCCTGCTGGCATGCCACCACTAGTTTTAGTACAAATTATACGTAGGCCTACTGCGCTAACATACGGAACATTAACACTAACATTTGGAACGTTAAATTAAAGTTCCCAATGCCTTAATTAACGTAATTTCAATTGTTATGCAATGTGTAGTACCATACCATACAGTATGGTATCTACTACTGTATCCCGCGAGAATAAGGCGACCCGCATCCTGTACGGTAGTACGAGGAACGAAACCTAATGAGGTGGAGACAGGTCCGGAGCCAGTACAAATTTTACATGGGTCTATGGAGGTAACAATACACCTCGTCATTAGGGTTCCCGACTTGGACCTGTCTCACTTAAAAAAAAAACATTAAGTATTTTGATATCGAAATATTTAGCAGTACTATATCTAATTTGTATGTAGTAGGAGGATGCTACGATACTGATATGGAAAACTCGAATTAAAAAAACACTTGTTGGTCGATTGATCTGAGACTTCCGGATCCCCTTCTTCTTATTACAGTGAAGTTATTCCAGTATATGTGTGGAGGGGAGGTGTCCCCAATCGGTGTTTCTGGAGGGTGAGACAACCCCCCTCGTGCTGTTTTTTTTTACTAGTTAAAACTGCGTGTTTTTTTGGTGATTATAACCTGTCTCAAATTCGATCCACACATTAGGTTTCGTTCCTCGTACCGTACACTACGGTATGGTAGAGTCTGCGTTCTGCGTACGAGTTCCTCGTATGTGCCGTATGTTAGGAAGAGTACGGTACGTATGATACGACTCCGATGAATTCTTTCTTCTCCGGCGGCGCGTGTGCAAGACTGATTTTCGTATTTGTGTCCCCGCGCCAGCAGAGAATATTTTAACGACTAGTTTTCTTGGCGATCGGCATGAAGGAAAAAAAGTGTCATCAAATAATGAAAAGAGCGTGGCGAAATTTCATCTGCAACAAAACTTGTTGAATCAACCTACTTGATAACTATTGAAATCCTAGTGCATCGCTCTCAAAAGTGTAACAAATACACACAATTACGAACGAAAGAAAAACACTGATAGACTTGTAATTAAACAAACCAAGTAACAACAAATCGACTCAATCAAACCAGGTACATCCGAGTTTCTACATCCTACCATGGAGGGAGAAGGAACAGAAATCTTATTCCACCCGGTTTCTGGTGGAGGCGAAGTGAACTTGCTTCAGTATTGCACGACCGAAGAAACAGAAGAAGTTCGAGGACTAGGAAAGGAAGTGGTAGCTACTGGTAATTGCGATGACGAGGGCGAGGGCGTGGAAAGATCTTTTTTTCCATCTCCAGTCAATGAAGAAGAATCAGTAAATGAAGAACAAGAACGTCAACCTGAAAGTACCAATAGAGCCTTTTTCCCAGCGTCAAGAGAGCAGACCTCATCCTCACCGCCGAATCGAATCGATTCTCTCGTCGAGGATGATGATTCCGAATCTTTCGACCGGGATGATACTAACGAAACGAACACCGACAGATTCCACCCGGCACTCAAAGCTGCGCTTTATACGGAAGGACAAGAGGCTGTATGGCACGAAGACCAATACACTTCGGTCTCATCTGTGTACGTCAAACCTGAGAAGCAGGAGACCTCGTCGACATCAAATCCCCAAAAGAAGCATCGGCAAAAAATGAAGCTTCCGTTTTTCAAGTCACGCGCAAAGAAGCAGGAGGCTGCCGCTGTGGAGGTTGAGCCTACACCCCGACCTGTAAAAATTCACGTCCGGAAACAAAAAGTCGCAAAAGCTGTGGTTTTATTGCCACCAAAGCAAGAAGAAGTTGGTGTTGAATTGAACATAGAAAATTCCTCTCAGGACAACACCAGTCAGAAAGAAAGACTAATGAAAGAGAACGAGATGCACGCTGCCATAGCTGAGAACAGCAAACAGGCACGTCGTCTGTTAGATACTGTTCTATCAGGAAGTTGTCTTGACGAAGAAGAGTCTGACAGGATGGTGAAGGAAGCATTCAATCACGCGGCAACCGCACGTCGAATTGCCGAAGCTTTGAACGAAGTAGGAGTCTTTCAAGAAGAGATTGAGTTGGAAAATGTTGTAAGCTACCTGGCTGAAGAGGGCGAACAAGCAGCCTTGCAATACAGGCAACAACAAATCGAGCAAGCCAGCTATGAAGGAATCGATGGCAACAACTCCAATGATGTAGAAGCCAGCACAGTGGAAAGCGATGCGTCCAAAAAACAGCGACGGGGTAAGTTTGGCGTCTCTGAATATGCTTCTCGCGCCGTGAACTATCTCGAATCGATTATTCCCAAAAGTATTACGGGTTATAAAAACAATTTTGATGTTGAAGGTGCAGAGAAGGGCAATAATGGCGCAGACTTTTGGTCAGATGCTGGTATTTCAACTCTAGGATTGAAAAACGATACCTTGGAATATGGATTTTCTGTAGAGGGAGATGCAAACGACCCAGATAATCGCACCGATCACGATGAAGCTGGTTTGTTACGCAACGCTGACATGATGTCACTTTCATCGCTCAATGAAATACTTGATGGGGGCGGTACTCGATCAACCGATCCTAAGAAAAAGGATCTAGAAGGGGAAGGCCGGAGCGCAGAACTGCAAAAATCTGGGAAGGGAGATCTATCTCCTAGAAGTGCTGTCCGAGAAATTGGAATCCCTAGAAAGCGAAAGAATGGACCTCCGCCAACTGAGCCAAGACGCAATCGTGGTGGAATATTGGGCCTTATGACTCCAAGAACTACGAAATCTTCAAGAAGCGAAACGAAAAAGAAGGTACCAGATGCAAGCGATAGTACAAACAGCGAGAAAAAGTGGGGTGTTTTTTTCAGAACTCCACGTGGGAGTGAAGGAGTACCTAGTCAACTCCATCTGGTTGTGGAAGAAACGGACGAAGATCGCTGCGAAGATGAAAACTCTGTAAAACCTACGTCAGATCCAGCGGAGGGTCTCGTCGAAGCTTACTCTGATTCGTGCCTTGGTGTCCCTAAAGACAATCGCTATACACCTGCTTTTGTCTCGGAAGAAACCAAAGATTCCGTAAACGAAAAGGAGGTCAAAATTTCGGGAGAAACACCTAAGAATTATCAACATTTGGAAAGCGGTCATGATGAAGACAACGATCTCTCCGAGAATATTAATACGGATAAAGATGATTTGAGTACGTCAAGTGGTACTGAAGGGAGTGAACCAAAAACTCGTGACCGTTACCAAACGGAGCCTATTGGAAAGACACCCCGAAGAGCTGGGTTGGAAGTAGAAGAAAACATCAATAGAAGACAAGGAACTGAAGAAAAATCAAGGAAAATCGGATCCAACGAACACGAAGGAAAGTCAACGGCAGCTTCTGATGGAGCAAAAAGCAAGATGTTCGGCCATGTCGTTGATAGTACGGGAAAGTGTAAGCGAAAGCCGCTGGTTCCAAACACTGTCGTCGAGGAAACGTTTGTTGTCGAAAATGGTATTAAAAAAACTTCAAGCAAACTGCATCGTATTCGTGAAGCAACGTTGCAGGAACAGGATGAAACGCAACCACTGGCTCCGCGTATGTCAAAGCCCACTGTCGGTCAAAGAGTCAAGACAATATCAAAAACAAAGAATGCATCAACCAGACCCTCGTACCCATCTATCAACGATAGCAGCACCGTATTCAAACAGGCCATCACGAAAGGCAACTTGAAGGCAGTTGAATCGAATGAAGAAGGCGACGATGTGGTGCCTTTTAATTACCTTACTGTGATGCTGAAGAAACAGATTGAAGAAAAAGTGAAAACGAGTGGTCCCTCTGGCACCGAGATACAGGAAAGCCCAGATCAACACATTTCAGATCCAAAACCCGATGCCGATAGTTTTGTAGCGGCAATTCGTGGTCCACGACATAAAGAGGCCCCCGGTGTTGCTCTGGAGGAAATTGCGATGCGAAATCACCAAAATAATCGGGACCCCACTATTGGAATCGGCACGGACGAAATTCTTGTTGACCTTGCTCCAACACCGAGACGTCCAGCTCGTAGAAGTTCTTTCGACGATAAAAAGGATGAGATGGAATACAACAAAAGCAAGGAAGAAATGGATGACAAACAAGATGAAAAGTGTATCAAAACTCGCGATCCACCTATTGAGGACGAAGAGAATGAACGACTTCGTCGGAAAATGATCACTGAGCGTCTCTTCCAAGCGGGAAGCTCGAGCTTTCAAGAAGATTCCAAGATGAACGATGCCATGAAGACTGTTCCGACCGTTATGTCTGCAGAAAGTTACGGAGAAGAACCAGTTGAAGACCGAGTGCAGATCCGCTTGAATCCCGCGGACAGTGCCGACGAAAACAATGAAAACCTCGAGAAAGAGGGTGCCGATGAAATCAGTCCTGGAACGCGATTGGGTCGTGGTCGCCGAAAGCTTTCCATGTCTTTTCTAAAAGTGGGCAAACGAAAACATGTCTTAGGTCCTCAGTGAACATATATGTTTCGTATATATGTAGGTGATAAGAGGCATTGATTATGTCCTTTTAGTATCTTTTTTGAAAGATCAATCGCTACGGTTAATTTTCCATTTCCAAATTAGTATTCATCGTGGTCGTGATCCCCTATTGAACGTCAAAAGTAAAAACCAACAGCAGGAGTTAATAAAAAATAAGTAAACATTGATATCAAGAAAGCTTTTTTCTGCATTTCTGAAAGGCCTTGTGTGCACACAGAATCCACGAGTCGAATGATACAATAATAGCAAAGAGCAGTATAATTGTAATATCAATAACAATAAGATAGCATTTGATGTAACTATGTGATTTCTCCCACATCTCAGAATAGTGTCTATCGATTACTTAGTAGAAACCAAGAATCACACAAGAGTGGCAAGAGTGAAATATCTAGGATTTACTTTGAAGGTATGTGCCAATTCGAATGTACTACTTTTTGTCTCCTCTTTGAAGTCATGTTTTGGTGCTTCCGAGGTCTGAAGCAAAGACAGAAAATATGTTCAAAATGTGACGATTCGTTCATAATTACTGGTCTCATCGTCGTCCGCAATCCCGTCAGTTCTTTGCGAAGGAGAGTTTGAATTGGGTTCTACAAGATCTTCAGTGCCCTGATCCCGATCCCGATGGCAAAGAAGTGGGTTTTTGTCACCTCGTAATCTTGTGCCATTGACAGTTACAGATGGTATTTCGCATTTCATCGGTGGCGATGAAACTTCTTTAAAGGTAGTAGAATTTGTGAAAATATTTCCTTGAGGCTTGGTTCCGATTGCAACACTGGCGTCGGCAGTTGCACCGTCACGAGAGAGGAGTGACTGAACCAAACGATACGAAGTAGAATTACCTCGTTGACCAACCCTTCGTGTTTCGAGCATACCAAGGGATTGGAACAATTTGCACGAGTTCACGAAACTCTTTGTCGCGATATTCCTGTTAACAGCGTCGGCAAGTCTTGATTTATCGATATAACGACCGATACCAAGACCGAGGAGTACGTCGAATACATCGAATGTAGTTTGTTGAATCTTCAGTTCCTTTGAATATCTACGAAGTAAGGCTTCAATATTGTTAGGGTTCAGCATGAGAGATTTTGGACAATCCGAAATCTGTACCATCACTTCCCTATTGCTCCTGAAAACTTGAATACTTCCTTCTTCCTTTGCGACCTTAAAGGCTGTGGCCCATGTCTTGGTAGATGTGCACTTGTATCCAGTTAGTTCACAGAGGCGATCCTTTGGGATTTGCGAAATTCCCACACTTCTAAACTCTACCAAGACGTTCTCGATCTTCTTTTGAGTAGAGCGAACTGTTTTAGGTGTCGCCGCATTGCATTTTCATGTCATGTTTCGTTGGAGTCGAGAGTTGAAGATTATACATTTGATTTTTGCAACAAAGCAAAGAGAGGAAATTATGTTTTACACCAATGCAACGTCGGCGAATGAGATTTTTGGGCTGAATGCATGGTCCTTTCATTGCCGTGTATTGCCACCCCCATATCTTAGTTGTATGTGATCCTACTTACCTTTCGCGTTACAACCACCTGTGTTTGGCATGACTTGATTGGATTCGAATGGCGTTTCTGGGGCGTCTATTTCTTCTGGCTTTCTTGGAGGTACTTAATTCAAAACAATTTATGAGTTCTCGGCGACTTGCCATTTTTTTCCTCGTACGATTGAGGAACGGAAAAACTTGCATGGGCACTAAAACATTTGAGCAAACGTTTATCTTTGATTTTGTGGCGGGGCCGTTTCGTATTCTGATGCCATCGCTACCGTGTGGATGCTGCCCCATGGTTTCACGATACATGAAATCTGGGACGTCCAGTGTGTTGGCTGCATCGAATATTTACAACCACAATCTATGTAGAAAGACAATACTGTGAACCGTACAACATCAAACCATCGAAAATTTTATGAGTCACCACGATCTGCCAAATGCCGCACCACGCGCACAGCGGTTTCACACCGGCAGGAAACCATTCTGGACATGATTCGTTCATATCATAGTGGATTGCCCAACTGGGTAGACTCGGTTCGACAGTGATTATTCTTGTCGCCTTGAGCTTCGGCACTTCTCACTGAAAAGGAAAGAACAAAAAGAGCTTCCTCGAAGGACTTGCTACTGGTGCGTGGGTCATGGCGTGGCTAGGGCTAAATGGTACTCGTACTCGTACGTACAAGTACGAATATGAGTACTACCTGGTACCCGTAAATGTGTCATGCACTGTGAGTCGTCGAATCCATCGATGATTCATTCGATCATAAAAATAAAAAATCCGAACTGTTTGATTTTAGTCTAATGGGTCGATAATTTTTTTTTCGATATTCTCATTTTACTTATTGTTCCATCTGAAACATTTTGAAAACAAGCACGTCAGAAGGGAACAACACATCACAATTACATTTACATTACCGTACGTACCCTACTAGGCTAGGAGGACCAATAAAATTCCTACGTTACCGTAAAAAGTTTGTCTGTACTGTATCATACGACATTGGAACAGCAGGCTCTCCATCAATCAGAGTGATCAGAAAAGAAAGAAAACGTTTTTCCAACGATCACTTCGTTAGTATTCCATATGCTTGTGAATATTCTTCCGTTATTGAATTGAACACCGCTTACTCTCGCACTCGCTGATAGCTCTAGCTTTTCTTCAACCTTTCTCGGCGTCGCTACGAAAGATACCCATCATTTTAAATTTTGAAATTGCCAGGGAGGATTCATATGGCAACGAATTAGTCGTACAGATTTTATTGAAAGAGTACGCAAGGGATACTATACACGATGGTGATCGATAGAAGAGGCTTGGCCCTTTTCGTGACCACGGCGTTGGCAACGACTTGCAACGCCTTTTCCTTTGGGGTCGCGCCTGGTGCTACTCGGAGGCAGCAGAGCAGCCTCAAGGCATTCGCTTCGGACAGAGGGGAAAATGCTGCGCAATTCGATCATTTTACTGTTTCCGACGACTCGTCGTCGCCGTCGGTTTCTACTGGTACTTTTGGACAGGAGTCAACGACAATTCCTCTCTCGCCTCCGCCCATGGCTCGTCCCGCAGAAAGTAGCAACCTTGCTAGAGCTCAGTCCGCTCCCCCTCCTGCCGATATGGAAGGAGAGCCAGAGCCCGCCCAACCCCAACTATCGGTATGGGAAAGGCAAAAGGCCGCCGAAGTTCAGGGGGGTTCGTTAAGGACATGGTCGTTCGCAGACCAACACAAAATCGACATGATCCAAGTTCATATGAAAACAGACGGTCGTCCAATGAATGCGAATGGTACGTATTTCGTTAACGACGCTACTTTTTGGATTGAACACTTTCCCTACGCAATGTGTATTTTATTTTTTGTAAGCAAAAAAATCTTCTTTCGTCAACTCATGCTGATATTGTGCGAATGACGATTCATTCGTATTCCGACTCGAAAAATTCATCACGAAAATAATTGGGGAAAACTTAGTGGAGTTGTGGCAGGGACCCGACAATGTTCCACAAAAGGTGGCAATCTACTGCGAAGATGGATCCACTCGTCCATTTAGATGTTTCCTGGCGACGCCATACACCGGGAATTCAATTTCGATTCGCAACACTGGTTCACTAGAGTATCCGCTGCAAGCTATCTTGGAAGGGGGGAAAGTGGGAATGAACGATCCAGAAACGAAGGAAAAAATGGAGCGCGTGCAAACAGCGAAGCCTAAAATATGTCAAGGAGGTGCAGTGATCACAGAACGATTTGAACCTGGTGTACAATCCGCACAAATCTTTTTACAGAGCGAGGGACGCCCCTTGCAGTGCAGGATTGAATTGATCCAGGGACCCAACAATGTCAAACAAGTCATGGAAGTATACACGGAAGAAGGAACTACACGTCCATTTTACGCGATCATTCAGACACCGGGGTATGGGACGGGTGTGATCCGAATCGTTAACACCTCTACATTGGAATTCCCCTTTTCCGTCACTGTGCAACCCTGGGATGTTGGATTTGCCGACGATGATTACGACGCCAGACCCACTGGTGGCAGTCCATTTTTCGAAATTTCAGGTGGAGCTGAGGGTAGGGGTATCGGAAATAGCAATCTTCGTTCCGTAGGAAGCCCGACAGACAGTATGGGTGGTATGTTTGGATCTTTTGGTCCTTCTTCTTCTTCTACCACTTCTCCGGCACCATCGCCTGCTAAAGCAAAGGTAAAAAGAAACATGATTGCACCGAAGGAACAGCCTCCTTCTCTGGAACCTGAACCTGAGCCCTCGCCAATCTTTTTGCAAAACGAAGAATTTGCTGTGTCATCATCAAAGTCCTCTCTTTCACAAGATCCAATTTTAACTACTGTCGTTCCAGCTCCAAGGAGGAAGGCTGCTCCAAAAGCATCACCGCCGCCACCAGAACCAGAACTCGAAACTGAAGTTGAAGCTCAACTCGAGGTCGAGGCCGATCCTACACCTATTGCCAATGATCCACCCCCATCTCCCCCGAGACGCAAAGGCCCAGTACAAAAGAGATATGTACCTCCGCCATCGCCTCCTCCACCTCCAAAGAAATCTATGGTCTTCTTGGACATTGATCCCGCTTATAAATAAGCAAGTCGTGTTCTTCATAATACGAAAAGTTTCGTTGCACGGCAACTGCGACATGAGGAGGTTGTTCCAATGCATAATACTGTAATCCGATAGAAATGAACTCTGTACTGACATTCATAATTAGAATTAAGAGTTGACGAATGCACATATGAATGACTTCACTCTAGTTCATTTACTCCTAAGGGGGTAGTAGTAAATTTCAATCCAAGTATAGGCAAATTCTGCATTATTGTTCAATATCGATTAGTAGTACTTTATGGGTTTGGCATTGCGTTTCAAGAGAGATTGTTGTGATTAGATATATATCTGCATTCTTTCTGACCTTTATAGTCGATCTACAAAGCCATCGAATCCGTCATACACAACGGCAGCCAATAGCGTCAATTAGAATAAAAATGGCACCACAGCAGCAACAAAGAAAGTAAAATAGCCCGAAAGGCGACCAACTCCACTGTCGTCCATCTCGGTGTCTTCCATGTGATCATGATCGTGATCGTGGTCGTTTCCGTGATCCTTATGCTTGTGGTCATCTCCATGATCGTCTTCGGCAGGTGCAACTTTTTCGTCCTCTTTGTCTGTCCAAAATTCGGCTTCACCAGTTTTCCAATTTACATTGAACCGAGCACGGTTTGCTCGACCGTGGTATCCAACATGGTAGTCATTTGAATTCCCCGCCCAGATCATCGAGTCCATTCCGTCCATGTTGAACTTTTGTCCATTGATACTAACAACTTCAAAAGTCATCGAGGTTGCACATTCGTTTGTATGAACCTCCATTGAGTTTTGCGCGGTGTTGATTCCTGTTGGCTCAGACCAGTGGCGGAAGGCAGAACCATGAGGGCTAATTTTGTACTCCGAAACAATTGATCCTTCAGGGTCTGTTTTGGTTGCGAGTAATGCAGATTTTTGCTTTGCGATTTCGATAGAAATCTCGTCGCTTCCAGCCGAAGTTAGCCCAGGAACTTCCAATCCAAATTGCGGGGTATAGTTAGTCCCAGGCAGTGCCATCAAGATGTTCCCGCCATTCATGCCGTTGTGCTTTCCGTCGGGATCGGCAAAACCTAATGCCAACCATCCGAAAACATCGTTGAAGACAAGTCGACCGTTTACAATTCCCTGTTCTTCGTCAACAACAGACCACTGAAGAATAGTTCCGCTGTTCTTCTCTGTTGTCAAATCGAAGGAATGGTCGTAAGTGATGCCATCGGTATCAGCAACAAAGGCGTCCCAAGTGGCATTTGTGCAGATAACTTCATTCTTTTGGGCAATTACAGGGTAGGGGGTCACTTCCTGAGTTGTGTTGCTGCACGCTGGCCAGAAGTCTCCGTGCCTTTCACCGGTTTGGAATTGACCTCGTGGATTGATACACTTCAGCCCAAGATTTTGTTCCTCGCACATCTCTTCGGTGATCTCGTAGTCCGACAACCCCATGCATCGGGCCCAGCAGAACAGAGTCCCCTTTTCACAAGCAGAAGGTTCGTTGTGGTTACTCGAGTGCTGTAGAGCTCTCATGTTCGGTGAGGAACATCCCAGACCGGCTGGAATATAGGCGTCAGGAGTTTCCACCAATCGCCGTCGAACATCTCCGTACGTCAATGTAGTCTGGACTGTTTCTGCGGCTACAAGGGCATCATTTGGTGGCAAAACCATTCTCCCGTACCAAACTCTTGCTTGAGATGGATCATGAAGCTTCAAGGAGACTGCGTGAGGTGTGGCTCGGAGATGACGACGATGAATGTTCTCTCCATCGATCAATCGGTTGTTGATGCTTTCATGATAGTAATGGGTGCGTTGAAACCATAAAGCACAAACATTCGTGTCAGTGCTAGTCAAAAAAACAAGAAGCCCATGACAACAGAGGAATTTTAAAAACAATCACAAGCTTTCCTCTCCCGCAATCTTCGACGTATTTGAGTAGACTTACTATTKATTAACTCCATCGCCCAACATGAAGACAAGATCATCCGTCTCGACGTCGAATTCGACACGGATAGGGGCACCATTCGAGTCTTCTTCCACGATGTAGAAGCCATCCGAAGCACTTGCCTCTCCGTCTTTCTTTCCATGAGAAATCATGATCCCTGGAGTGAACGCGATGAAGAAACCTTGATCAGCGTGGACATCAATTGTTTCCATTGCCTCCTCGTGATCATCGTCGTGGTATTCTTCGCTGATCCTTTCGATCTTTTGGTAAGAATGGAAATGTTCCAGTTGTTCCCCGTTTTCGACGAGATCTTGGATGGTATCATAAGAAGAATTGTTGTCACCCTTCTTGGTTAGAAGAGGTTTCATCAAATGGGGTTCCATTTCTTGCGACAGCGCCGCAGTGAATTTGTTAGTCGCTTTCATTGCAATGGATCGAAAGAGTTGCAAATTCCCTTCGAAGGCCTGACAAGCGGTCGACGGCGTGAGCGTATCCTCCAACTCCAAACGAAGAGGACCTTCCTCGGCGGTGGTCGCAGTTGCAAAGGATCGCCGAACCGTTCCGTCTCCAAACGATTCTTCGCCCACAATACTTCCGCCTTCTTGTTGATCCAGCAAACAGGAATGGAGGCTCCCCATTACTTCTTTCTTGACCTTGGCAAAGTTTTGAGGAAGGTTCGTCATTGAAATGATTCCCGAGGAGTCTTCCAATGCATCCAACAAAGAAAAATGTTCGTTCAAAACATCGTCGTAATGAACGCGAACAGGAGTGAACGCAGATTTGTTGCTGCCACTGGCAGCAACGTAAGACACCAGAAGAGCGGGTAGAGCGAAGGAAAACTTCATCGTAATTAATGATCTAAAACGAAACATGGTTAGTTCAACATGGTGCGATCTTATCGACTCTGTGCCAACGAGAATACGTCTGGTCGAATCGATATCGATAAAATACTTGTGGTTCTTTTTTAATGATGTCGTGCACTTACCGTATCTATTCACACTTTGAAGGGTGATGGGTCAGAATAAATGATTCCGAAGGCAGACTGATGGATTTGGAAGATATTGAAGGGTAGGATTGGCACGTCTATCATCCTTTGCTTTCGTGCCATGCTGCAGGATGCTCTTCGGTGTGGATCAGCGCAATAAAAAATCTTTTACTATGGTGTTCGTGCTTAATCCAAAATGCACGTGCACATTTAATGTAGATCATAGGCGCCCATGTTCGCCACGGTCATGGCACGAACGGATCAAGATGAGAGGTTAGGAAAAAATTTAAGTGTAGGTTGAACTATCAATCGCTTATAGTAAGTAATGTAATTGACCGGTACAGTATGTTGGATAAGAACATTAATTAGAATTATCATTTTACATGAGAAAACTCAACGACAAAAAGCGAACAATGAGGTTTATGTTTTTATAGCTCTGAGACGCTACCTTTTTATTTAAGGTACAGTACATACCCTCAGGGTAACTTCCGCGTGTCAACGGTCAACAGGGACCAATATCAAATTTTATGAGCAGCATAAAATTATGTTCAAGGTACGAACCCATTTCAGTACGAGCGAAGTGCTATTCTTTTTTTTAGTAAACTACTAGTAGATTTTTTAAGCCTTTCCAAGAATATCTTTTGTTGGAAGAAGCATCGAACCGGGGATAGAAAATCCATATCAGCGTGACCTTTGCTCTGTTCCTCGTCGTTCCTGTCGACATGACTTGTGCAATAAATGCCTTTTTTCTTTTTTCGTGTTTTTCATGGTATTCAAGACGTCGCTAGTACATACGAGTATCGTGGGGGTATGAACTCGAAATGCAACTAATTTTGTAACAGTAGGAAATCATGTAAAAGTCTACATACGTACACTTCGATAACATCCTACTGACCACCACAGTATCAAAATCCATCACATACGTACCGGTACCATTCCAGAAAAGCAAAAAATCCGCTAAGTCGGTTGAGCAGAATTACTTGCATCATCAAGCATAAGGCAATTTCCATAATAAACAGACAGATGATGAAGGTAATTCTTGACAATAACAGAAACGTATTCTCTAATACATTATTATTATTATTGGCCAAGTAGTTAGGACCAGCTACTCTGTATCAGCGACTCGTATCAGCATCCTCCGTACTATCAGCGAGCGTCCTCCGTATCAGCAAGCCTCCGTACTATCAGCATGCTTCGTATCAGCAACTCGTATCAGCGGCTCGTATCAGCGGCTCGTATCAGCGGCTCGTATCAGCAGCTCGTATCAGAGCTGCCGTATCAACATCCTACGTATCAGCAACACATACCAGTGACTCGTATCCGTATCAGCATCCTACGTATCAGCAAGCCTCCATATCGGCATCCTCCGTATCAGTGAGCCTCCATATCAGTAGCGAGCCTCCGTATCAGTAGCGAGCTTCCGTATCAGCGGCTCCTATCACCATCCTCCGTATCACCATCCTCGTCCGTATCAGCATCCTCCGTATCACCATCTCCGTATCAGCACCTCCATATCAGCACCTCCGTATCAGCATCCTCCGTAACAGCAGTTGGTATCAGCGGTTGGTATCAGCGGCTGGTATCAGCGGCTCGCGCATCAGCATCCTCCGTATCA